ACGCATAAACTGACTTTTGACTTGCTCAGTTGCATCCATGAGCTGGCTCTTGGTCTAGCAGGAGGTCTGACTCTGAGCGAGTCACCTGCACAAAGAGCTTTTGACTGCACTGCTCAGGCACCTCAATTTGCATCTAGCCCAGGACTAGTTTAGCCTGAGCTCATCCTCATGCCAGGTGATCTTTGGTGCTAGCAGCTATTTGGGGATTGAGTAAGACGTAGAACGCAACTCTAACCCCAGCCAACCCTGCCAAGAAGTAGAAGAAATAATCTCTGATCCTCACCGCCTATTGTCTTTTACATCAAACACCTGGATGTGAGATTATTAAGACAGAATTGCATGAAGTGCACCCTTCCCTTCTGTTCTTGCTACATTGATTATTTATCTGTTGTTCTCTCAAGAAAACATCCTCCCACACAGGGAAGGTGCTGTGACTGCAGCAGGTTAGGAAATTCTCCCGAAATTCCTGCTGGATTGACAGGTCAAGCTCATGACAACGAATGGGGAGAGACTGTTTGCATCAGAGGCCTGGCCATAAGGAAGGGAATTTGGCAAAGGATGGCTTTTGTATTTTGATGGCATGTTTTGTCTAAGTAATGGAATACAGATATCATGGGTGCATGGATGTCAACACAGAGTGGAACTCACCTCATGTAATCTGAGAGGTGTCAAGCAGAGCTTGTCCCTCTGGGAATCCTTATGGTCATCTGGGAGAAATGAGCACTTCTGTAGTGAATTGCCTTCATCTGCCTGGTGGCAGCTGTGCCCTGGAAATGTGTATTCCTCTTGCCTTGACTGCACAGGGAGTGCTGAGAACCAGCTCTTAACAGGGTAAATCCTGCTTAACCAAAACCAGAGCTGCTGGGACTTCAAGTCCTTTCGATGGGGGCAGGTAGGAGGGACTTCTTACAACTGTTTGTCTGTGTTAGTCTGTCTCCAAGGGCCAGCTTCTTGTGAATGCCGTTTAATTAGGGTGTGTTCCTAATCAGGACAAGCTTTTAGTCCTGGCTGCTTTCTTCACCCACACATCGTGATGCAGCAGTGGGCCTCAGTGTCTGGGAGTCATCTGTCTATTCCACTGGTGCTCAGCTTTATTCCAGATGTCAACTTTAAGTAGCAGGTTTTGTTCTGATTAGGTGTATCCACTGTCTCTAATATTTACATCCTTGAAATGCCCCTGGAAAACATTACCATGTGTTGGGCACTCAAAATGCAAAGGGTTTCCCACTGACCTCCCACCGCATGTACTCAGCTGAAGTGCTTGGCTCATGTCCTTGTCCACTGTAAAGCAAACCATCATCCAGCAGTTGGGGAGCAAAGACTGTTTACTCCTGCTCTGTCAGGCACAGATCCTATCTTAGACTTCGCAAGTTTTCCAATGAACACCCAGTGGTGTTATCACCTTTCCAAAAGCTTTTCTCTCAAGTATGTTCAGGAATCACTGAGGGTGAGCATTGCCCAAGATTCAGGATTTACTTAGTCTTCTGGATTTTTCAGGAGTGACAAAAAAGTCCCAAACTCACAAAATGACAGAACATCTCCTCATGAAGATGGTGAGGGGTGTAGAGGGGAAGCTGTATGAGGTCTCTTGGCTTGTTCAGCCTGGGGAAGAGGAGGCTGAGAGAAAACCTCAACCTCACTGCGGTCTGTAGCTTTTTCGTGAGGGCCAGTGGAGAGGCAGGCACTGATCTCTTCTGTCTCGTGACCAGTGACAGGACCCGAGGGAATCTCCTGCAACTGGGAAGTTTAGGTTGGCTATTAGGAAAAGATTCCTCACCCAGAGGGTGGTTGAGCAATGGAACAGTCTCCCCAGGGAAGTGGTGACAGCAACAAGGCTGTCTGAGTTCAGGGAGTGTTTAGACACTCTAAGGCACATGGTGGGATTGTTGGATTTTCCTGTGTAGGGATAAGAGTGTGACTTGAGGATCCTTGTGGGTCGCTCCCAGCTCAGGCTGTTCTATGATTCTAAGATTAGTCTGAACAGGAACAAGGGCTCTCCTGTCAATTTCAGCATCTCCGAGGGCTTTCTCTTCAATCACAATTTGAGTCTCTTAACAGAAGGTGATGTCTGTGTATCAGCAGGATCTGCCACCTCCTACCATGCAGCATTGTCACCTCTCTCCTGGCTGGATGCAGTGAGCAATGAATGAGTAGAGTTGACACATTCAGAGGTGAAGTGTAGATCAGTGTTGCCCATGGCAGGCAGTTGACCCAAGGCTCAGCCCCTGATCACAAGGGCTGCTCTTCCTCGTGAGCAACAAGGCTCTCCCTCTGGAGTCTGGTCTGACATTTCCGCTCGCAATCAACAACCTCATTTCCATATGGAGTGAGCCAACAGATAAACTCGAAATCATGTTAACGTGACTGCTAATTACTCACAGCATAATTAATGTCCAGCAGCAAAGCCTGTATATATTGAAGCGTTGCTCTTCCAGTGGGGTGGTTTTCCGAAGAAGTGGGTTGGTGCATCCAACGTGATCCACCTCTTCTTGTGGAGAGAAACGAGCTGCTGGGATCTCATCTAGGAGTCTAAACCAGGATTCTGGGCGTGTGTCTTCCTCTTGCCTATCTAAGGTACGTGATGTATTTTTTGCGGCTTTGGGCTGTAGAAAGACTTAAATGTACAACTCTCAGGATCAGAGAATGGGGTAGAAATTCACTGCACGGTGGAAAGAAAAGGATATCTCACAAATCCAGGCTGCAGAGTTGTTTCATTGTCTTGGGCCTTCCATTTTAGCTTGGGAATAACGGCAGGGTTTGAGACACTTTCCAGTCAAACTTGCTAGCCTTTGAATTCCGTTGCTGCCAACAAGACCAGCAGTCGACTGGAGCAGTGCATCATCTTACTGCTGCTGCTTTTCTCCAGATAGAGTTTTCCCCTTGGTGCAGATGAGTGACCTGCTGCCTGTAAAGGTGAGCAGAGCCTGGAGGAGGAGGAAGGGGCTGTGCTCCAAGCTTGCAGGGAAAGTGAATTTGCTCCCAAAAGAAAGATTTGAGTTTCAGTGTGTTTATTCCCAGTCCACTTACTGAGGATCTGACACAAGAAGGAATCTCTCGGCATTGAGGAGTAACTTTGAGAGGTGTCCCTTCTCAAGGGGAGATGTGTCATGAGTGACAGTGGGACTTCAGACAAAGTTTATAAGAGAAGCCCTCCCGCTGAGCCATGAGGTGCAGAGAGGACCCCTTAATTTCTAAACCCCTTCTGTGAGAGGAGCCTGGATGGGGCTGGATCCAATGTTAGCCCCAGACTTTTTCAATGGTTTTCAGTATGACTTTGTCCCACAGGGTTCAAGATGTCAAATCAGGTATATTTACACAAAGTGAATTCTTTATTATGACAAATGATCAGAAAAAGGATATTAATCAGAACTATTTACTACACAATATAAAAGCTAAAATGACCAGTAGTGGATAGGATAGGATAGCATAGGATAGCATAGGATACCACACTATACCAAACCAATTATATTACAGTAATTCTATTATAGCAATTGTATCACAGCAATTGAATTAAGACTAGCAAGAAGAAGCAATCATTAATTAGGGATTGGTGTAACTCACCATGCCAACACTTGTGGGCAGATCTCTATCTCTTAACCTCCCAGCTTGCCCCACTTTGAGCATGGGGTTGGACTGCTGCCTTTAGCATCTGATAGGAAGAAAACTGAGGTGGAAATCAGGAGAACACTGACATGGAGAAGCCACATCTGGACTGGGAGGAGCTGCCCCTCAGTATTTGCACAGCAGCAGCCATGGTGCAAATAAGATAAAGGTCTTCTCCCTTGAGTTTGCTGCTCCCCTCTGCTTGGCCCCTTCATCTTCTGTATCCACATATCTGCAAGTTCATAGTCTGGTGTTGGATACCATAGCAATGCAAGCTGAGCAGCAGGAGAGGTTTCCCAATGTCAGCTGAGTGTCTGTGGTGGGAAGGTCCTCAGAGCAGAAGGGAGAGAGATGATGTTCAGAAAGAGGGGCTTCCAGGCCCTAGATTACTTCAGGCTTTTCTCTCCACTACAAGTGTAAAAGCTGAGCTCTTGACCAACTCAGGTAGGTTGAAAAACGTGACCTTGTCCCACTGCTGTGCCTCAGTTACAGATAACTTTGCTGTGAGAGCTGACTGGATATGGGATAGGTTTGGATCCCTCCTCAGATAAGATGCATTTTCCGATAAGATAAGATGAACCTGCTGCCTCCTGTAGACACCTTAACCCTATTTTAGAGATCACCCTCTTTGCCCCAGTGATTTTTCTACAGCTGGGAGGACAGAACTCATCCCCTCCTTGGTCTCTCCTAGTCCCCTCCTCAGCCAGTTGTGTCCCACCAGCACAAAAATGACTGCAGGCCGTGGCAAATTCTTTCCAAGTTGAGTGTTCCTCTGCATTTGCCTTCCAGGGGAGCAAGAGCCCTTCACCCTTCACGCGATGCTGTGGCTGCTGCTGCTGCAGGTCTGGGCGAGCTGCCTCTGGCTGGGACACGGCGAGGTGGTGACGTCCTTTGAAAGTTCATGTCCTCAGTTCTTCTACAGTGACACTCCCCCAGATGCAGCAATGAAGCCACAGAACCCAGCCTGGATCTGCCAGACCTTAAACAACCAGCAATTCTTTGCCACCTTGTATGACCGAGACAACCGTATTCCCATGTACTCTGCTTATAAATATGAGCCTGCAAACCTCACAACAAACCACACATGGACACTTGAGCCCCAGGTGAGTGTCTTCTCTTACAGCGTTTCGCTCTGCAGTCACTAAAAGATGAACTGCAGCATTTAACCAAACATCTCTATTTCCTCTCACCCCCATACACACACATGCAAATGGACCCACTGGATGGGATTCATCTCATCTCACTTCAAACACCTGCACCACATGATTCCTCTGATGCATTTCAAACAGCAGCAGGAGCAGGAGTCCTATGTCAAAGGTGCCCAGTTTTCTGCATTGACCTGAGAGCAACATCAAGGCAAATTCCATTCCATTCCATTCCAAGGTCAAATGACCTCCCTCTCTCTGCCCTGCTGTGGTGGGACACCAAGTGATGGGGAAAAGGCATCCAACAGCAGCTAAATTTGAGGGACCAACAGTCCTGTTGGGCTTTGATCTCCACTTTGCCCTGAGCTGTTTTGCATCCCTGACAGAGCTTAATTGCTCACAGTTAAGACTCCATTTGTCTTTGAAAGTGATGTGAGAGAGGTGAGGAGAAACTCAGAATTGGGTGGGATGACCCAGGGAAAAAGGCTTGGCACAGGCACTGAGTGGTGAGAGGGTTTGGTGAAGCCTGGGGAATTTCTTGAGTGATATTTCAGGCAGTGAAAAGGGAGGAGCATCAGTGTCAGTGCAGTCAGAAGGGGGTGATCTCCAGCCATGGCCAGTTGCCCCTGAGCACCGTTGTCTCAGGCCTGGTTCTGAAGGATCCACCAGACACTCAGATCTCCTCAAACAACAGAGTTCTCCCAAATGTCCTTCAGACCTCCAGTGAAAAAGACGAAGCAAAGCATGGAACGGAAAGAGAGGAAGTTCAGGTCATTGCAACAGACAGAGTAGCAGGATGGAATTTAGGTGTTCATGAGTGACAGAAGAAAGCCATATGCCCTGTTCCAGAGGGAGAAGAAATAGGTTTTTCCAAAGATGAACAGAAAGGTGTTGGAGTTCTAAAAAAAAACCCATTTGCACTTTGTACTCATTGGAACTCAAACAACTAATATGATATTGCACCACTGCAGTCTCCACATTTAGGGTTGGGATAAAGCTTCTCTCGTTTCATAGAATCATAGAATCACAGAGGGGTTTGTACTGGAAAAAACTTCAAAGATCATCTCAATTCAACCCCCCTGCCGTGGGAAGGGCCACCTCCCACTAGACCTGGTTGCTCAGAGCACTATCCAACCTGACCCTTTTCCTCCTGGACCACGGAGCCAGGCCTCCTGCAAACTCTTTGATTTTGGTAACTTTCTCCAGAGGTCCTTTTTCAGTACTTGGGTTCCTCAGGACTCTTTGAGAATTATGAGCTCCTTGAAGAGGTTGATAATTTTTGACTTCTTTGCAGTGCAGCTGCAGGAGATGCTGCCTGGCCCAGATCAGCTCTGAGACTCGTTATTAGGATTGCAGTAGCAGATCCCATTTGCACTGAGGTTTTTTTCATTATTGAACAAAAAAACTTTCATCCTTGCAGTGACCTGTAGCCCCCCTGGGAATCCTCACCTCTAGGACTGGTTTCTCAACACATCTCCCTGGGTGTGGGGTTACAGGAGGCAAACACTGGTGTTCCAGGATTGTGGTACACCTGTAGCAACCACACATGGAATCAGAGAATGACAGACTGGGGGTGGGAGGATCTGGGGTAGAAGTGGGTTTGGAGACAGGCTGAAAGGGAACCAGCTGTGTCGGAAGGTTTCTCACCAAAGACCTTTCTCCTTTCAAAGCCAGAGTAGAAAACACTCAGTACCTCATGTATCCAGCCACACTCCCAGCACAGGCTGCAGGCTGGATCACAAAGGTCACAAGTCAAATGGAGAGCAGTCACATTCTGAGCTTCTTTTGTCTTAAAAACTCTTGTCTCCATCCAGGTGGAGCAGCTATAGGATATCCATCAGATTCGTATATGTCCATAGACTGAGAAGAGAAAAAATGTGTTCTTGACCCCTGGAGACTTCTGCTCCAGGGAAACCTGCTCCATTACTCCCATCCCCAATACTAACATCTTTTCTTCTTCTTTACCTGTCAAGCTGATAGGTTCAAATTTGTCTAAAAACATGCAAACAGTGCGGACCCTCAAACATCAATACAACGTCAGCAAAGCGCTAATCATGCAAAGCCAGGCTGTCAACAGAGACTATAAGGGGAGCGGTTGGGACCGTGGCCATTTGAACCCCAATGGACACCATAACACCTCAAACAGCAGGAATGCGACCTACACCCTCACCAACATAGTGCCCATGAACAAAACACTCAACCGACATGCTTGGAAAAACTACGAGCAGCAAATGATGGCCAAGAATACCAAGAACTGTCAAACCACCTATGTCATTGTGGGGGCTGTGCCTGGGAACTCCTCCATCCCCGGTGGGAGGGTTAATTTACCCAGCCACATCTGGTCTGGTGCCTGCTGCAGGACCAAACAGAACACCGTGAGTGCTTGGGCAGCAATTGCCGAGAACAACCAGGACCAGGTCTGGGATCTCACTCTGGGGGAGCTGGAGAACAGGTTGACCCAGCTGTATAGAATGCAAAATGTTTCTCTCTTCCACGACGACTGTCCCCGATAATAAGCCTCACATTCTGGATTTAACAGGCTCAGGGGCTTTTCCCACGTATCACAGATCCACAGAATGCTTTAACTTGGAATGGACCTCAAGAATCATCCAGTTCCAAACCCCCTTGCAAAATAGCAGGAACGCCTTCCACTAGACCAGGTTGCTCAGAGCCACGTTCAACCTGGCCTTGAACACTTCCAGGGATGGAGCAGACACAGCTTCTCTAGGCAAACTGTGCCAGGACCTCACCACTTTCACAGGACAGAATTTCTCCCTGATGTGTAGTCTGACCCTGCCCTCTGCCACTTTAAAGCCATTCCACCTTCTCCTGTCACTCCATGGCCTTCTCCCTCTCCAACTGTCCCAGAGACCCTTTAGGTGCTGGAATGGGATCTAAATTCTCCTCAGAGCCTTCTCCAGCTGAACATCCCCAGCTCTCTCACCCTGCCTCCAGAGCAGAGGTGATCCAGCTCTCAGAGTACCTTCATGGCCTCCTCTGGACTCCACCCCAACAGGTTTGTGTCCTTCTCATGTTGTGGGCCCAGGGCTGGAGGCAGCACTGCAGGTGGGGTCTCAGGAGAGCAGAGGAGAGGGGGACAAATGTCCTGTGCAGTGTCCATCCTGCTCCCTTCTCTGGTGGGTTTCCAGCTCTGGCCCTCAGGGCAACTCCTCCTCCTGCCCTTATAAAAGGGAGAAAGAGGTGGGCAGAGCCTCCAGCTGGTTTGCTTTGCTGCCCATGCTGGCAGGGAGCCCTTAGGGATGAGCCCTTGGCCTGGCACTCTGGAGGGAACAGCTGGAGAGGAGCCCATGGACAAGGA